TAAAGATCTAAAATAAATACCTGCATTATTCATTACTAATTTCTCTTAGATTATAATATTAATATTTAATTTGAAGAACACAGTATGGAATTTATGAATACTTACTAATTTTTCTTATGTCTTCCATGGAGATTTTTTCTTTGATTAGGATAAAGTTATTAAATTATTTTTTAATGTAACTCATTCAGTGCTTCATTAATAGATATGTCTTATGTTAATGCCAATTCAAGTGATTCATTGACGTTTTCTGAATTTTAGATTTATTTCCATCACTTTCCCATTTGCAATGGAAATAACTCAATTCTTTTAAAGTTATCTCTAAATATTCTAATAGTTTCTCCATATGTAATTCCTTGTATTCTTTTACCCTATAAATATTATTAACGTCAAAGATTAAAGTTTCTAAATTAAAATCAATTAATGCTAAGGTATAATATTATAGTGTTTTATCATTTCTATGGATTTAAACATCTATCAATTAATGTTACGAATGTATTTTGGCTACCCCAACTTATTACTAAAATTATATGAAATTACTTTAATTTATATAGTGCCGATAATTTTTAATCTATAATATTTTTAAAAATTTTATCCATTAACCGGATGTTTTTAATCAATTCTTATTGTTTTTGTTTACCAGTATCAACTTAGACTATTCTTAGATGTTGAAAATGGATAGTAAATCCCTAAATTAGAAATTTTAATATATATATATATGAAAAATACCAAACAATTACACTTTTCTTTGCCAAGTTTTAAAATTTTAGCCCATTTTTGTGGTTTTGAACTTTGAGGGTGTGATTTATAATTTTTAAAATTTTGAAAGAGTTTTTAAAAAAATTTACTTTTAAGTTTGGTAGTTGTAAATTCTATGTTTCATGTGTTGGTGGTAATTTTTTAAATGTTAGTATATTTCTTGTAACTCTAAAATTTTAAGGGTGTCTTTTAACATTATTAAAACTATAGATTAATTTTGAAAAATATTAAATTTCAGCGGTCTACCAATCGACGAATTTGATGTGTGCTAGTTAAAATTTTTGAAAATTTAGAGTTTTTTTTACGATTTTTAAATTTTGAATGAGTTTTTTAAAAATTTTGAGGTTAATTTTGGCAAATTTTAATTTTTAGGTGTCTAAGGGTAATATCTTGAATTCATCTTATTTTATTTATAAATTTTAAAATTTTAGGGTGGCTTTTAATAATTTAAACTTTTGAAGGTGTTTCTATAATTTTTGAGATATTGAGGGTGTTAATTAAAAATTTTAAATTTAAATGTCAAAAATTTTAGGTGTATCATGGTAATTTCTTGAATTCATCTGTGTTGTTTGTAAGTTTTAAAATTTTAGAATTTTAATGTGCTTGTCTGTAATTTAAACTTTTGAGGATGTTTCTATAATTTTTAAGACATTGAGGTGTTAACTGTAAATTTTAAATTCTTTGCAAACTGATGTTAATTTTTTAATTTCATGTTTTTTATTTTAAGTTTTGAGACATTTGGATGAGTTTTATAATTTTGAACTTTTCAGGGTCTTTTCTGCAATTTTAAAATTTTTTATGGTTTTTTTGCAATACTTCATGTATTATAATATGTTATCTACTTGTAATTTCTTTATCTTAACAAACTAATATCATTTTTATGTTTTATATATTTTATTAATATTAGTTTTTTTTAAATTGTTAAGCTAAACATGGTTCACATAGGATTAGGATAAGATATGATTATGATTAGGATAGATTAAGATATAAATAAAATATTTAAAATAGTGAAGGGTAATATTGACCATTAAAAATTAGAATTTGATTATAGATAAGGTAGTTCAAACTATAAATGGATATATTTGTCTTAAAAAGATTTTCCGTACTCGTGTTTTTAAAGGGAGTATGAAAACAATATTTTAATGTTCTTATATAATTATTTCTTGGGAAAATTATGTCAGGCCCTAAAAGCAACATCTTCATGTGTTGCAACCTCTTAACTTTTCGCCCATGTAGTTCAGCCCAAAGAAGTTTGACATCTTATGCTACAACCATCTTTTAGCAACTATTACCTACCAAGTAAGCATTGAGAGAGGATAAAAAGTACAAAACCCCAAAATGCCCTTATCTACTCTATTTTTTTCATGTTAGGTCTATTTAGAGTTCATGTTAGGTCTAATTTCAGTTCAATTTAATTTATATTAAGTCCAATTTAATGTTAAGTCTAATTTCACGTTAAGTCCAATTTAAGTCTAATTTTATGTTAAGTCCAATTTAATTCATATTAAGTCTAATTTAATTTTTTTAAGTCTAATTTAAATCATGTTATGTCTAGTTCAACTTGTTTTAAGTTTAATTTAATTAGACTTAACATGAGTTAAATTAGACTTAAAAGGAATTTAACATGATTAAAGTTAGACTTAAAATTTCGTGTTAGGTGTAATAAAAGTTCGTGTTAAGTCTAATTCATGTTAGGTCAAATAAAAATTCGTGTTAAGTCTAATTTCATGTTAGGTCTAATAAAAGTTCGTGTTAGTTCTAATAAAAGTTTGTGTTAGTTCTATTTCGTGTCCGTGTTAGTTCTAACTCATGTTAGGTCTAATTGGTATTCATGTTATTTCTATTCCGTGTTCGTGTTAGTTCTAACCCAGTTCGTGTTAGTTCTAATTCATGAATTAGAACTAATACGAACTGTGTTAGTTCTAACTCAGTTCGTGTTAATTCTAATTGATAAATAAGAACTAACACGAACTATGTTAGTTCTAACTCAGTTCGTGTTAGTTCTAAGTCAGTTCGTGTTAGTTCTAATTCATGAATTAGAACTAGCACGAACTGAGTTAGAACTAACATAGTTCGTATTTGTTCTAAATCAAGAATTAGAACTAACACGAACTAAGTTAGAACTAATACGAACTGAGTTAGAATTAACACATTTCGTATTAGTTCTAATTCATGAATTAGAATTAACACGAACTGAGTTAGAACTAACACGGTTTGTTTTAGTTCTAATTTATTTCTAATTCATGAATTAAAACTAACACGAACTGAGTTAGAATTAACACGAACACGAAATATAACTAACATGAATAACAATTAGACCTAACATGAGTTAAAACTAATACGAACACGAAATAGAACTAACACGAACTTTATTAGAACTAACACGAACTTTTATTAGACCTAACATGAAATTAGACTTAACACGAATTTTTATTAGACCTAACACAAAATTTTAAATCTAATTTCAATCATATTAAATTCCTTTTATGTCTAATTTAAACCATGTTAAGTCTAATTCAAATTTTAAAAAGCCTAATTTCATGTTAAGTCCAATTAAATTAGACTTAAAACAAGTTGAATTAGACATAACATGATTTAAATTAGACTTAAAAAGAATTAATTAGACTTAATATGAATTAAATTGGGCTTAACATGAAATTAGATTTAAATTGGACTTAACATGAAATTAGACTTAACATTAAATTGGACTTAATATAAATTAAATTGAGCTAAAATTAGACCTAACATGAACTCTAAATAGATCTAACACGAATTCTAAATAGACCTAACACGAACTCTAAATAGACCTAACATGAAAAAAATAGAGTAAATAATGACATTTTGGTAATTTTTTTTTACTTTTTTCATCTCTCTATGTTTAGTTGGCAGGTAATAATTGCTAAAAATGACTGCAATACAAGCTGTCACGATTTTTGGGGCTGAACCACGTGAAAAAAAAATGAAAAGACTGTCTTATATGAAGATGTTGTTTTTGGGGCCTTGACACAGTTTCCCCTTGTTTCTTATCAATTTCCAATTTGAGAAATGAGTAACTAATAAGTTCCCTTTTCTGAGCTAGGAAGGCTCAGATCCTCCGGATAAATCTAGTTACTATTCCCCGCACTCCGCACCGAAAGGACGACGTTATAATGCATGGACATTAACTTGTCTCTTATGAACAAGTTAATCATCTACAATCGATCCCTTTAATTGGCTCCTACGCATCCAATTCCAAAAAACTAAACATTGTCCACCTGTCCAACGCCACGTAGACTGTAAAACTCCAACCCGGAAGCAGCAGACCACTCAACAGCTATAATTTACTCCCCTATAGAATTTGGAAATGCCCGCATCAAAGTTAAAAAGCGCAGTTTAGAAACACGCTCCATGGTAGCATGGCTAGCATGCGCATCTTAAGCAGCGAAGGTTGCGAAACCAGCGGCTCACTCACACCTCGTACGCCGCTTCTGTCGCTATCCTGCACCTGATCCGCTGTCCCCCTTGAACAGCAAACGCTCCCCTAGGTTTTCTTTCCGCCTTAAAGCCCAAATCTATTGTATTTACATATTGGACTGTTGTGTCTGAATGTTGCTAACTCAGCCATATACTTTATATTACATTGTACATCTATACTCTTCTTAGACACCGTTTAAATACACATGGTAATATCTAAAATATGCAGATTATACGTAGGCAAAAAAATAAAAAAACTAATTTTGTGTAAAAGGGCGTCTTTGCCTTGTTTAATGTGAGTGATAAGCGAAACCGTAAATAAATAAATTAGTACTAATTTGCAATTACTGGAGTTTAGAGGGAATTTAGTAAAAAAACGTACAACAACATAATAACCATTATATTAGATCAGTAATATAAAAATTCTAGCGGGGATACCAGCATAGGCCACGCGTCCTCCCAGCGGACATCCACTCCACGCGCATGCCTGACACCGCATCGCATCTACCTGCCGACGTGTCCATGCCTCCTCAAGCCCATCCTTTAAATCTCCACCCTCCATGCCCAAACACCCCAACCGTACACAACGGCGGATCACACTCCAGCAGCACATCCACCGCCCTTACCGCAGCTAACTCTAGTTAGGCTAACCGGGGTCAGCCCTCAGCCTTTATATTTACCCCCACCTACTCTTCTTCTTGCTCGCTCCGTGAGGCCCCGAGAAGGGAAAATAAAATAACAATAAACTGAACGTGAAAATAAAATAATGAGAAACTGGCGGGCCCAAAAAGATAGGATATAAAAATGATGATGCATCAGAAGCCGACGCGTCTACATCCGCTCCCTGGTCCTCCCTCTATCGACGACGCGAGCCCCCCAATCGCCGGGCGCGTTCCTACACCCGCTACGAGGGTCCGACGACCGGCGCGATCTCTCCCGACTCCGCCGTCGACGCCTACTCTTGCGACGAGTTCGCATGTACGAGTTCAAGATCCGGCCGCCTGCGCCGCGGACCGTCCACGACTGGACGCGAGACGAGTGCGCCCTACGCGCACCCCGGCGAGAGGCCAGTGCGCCGCGGAATCGAAGGAAAGTTCACTAACTCCGGCGTCGCCGTGCCCCGAGTTCCGGAAGGGCGAGCTGCGAAAGCCGGCGCGACACGTGGCGTACATGGCGCCACGGTTGTTTCGACGTGCTGCCCTCCATCCGGCGAGGTACCACGGCCAGCCTTGCAAAGGACGGGACGGCCTGCCGCCGCCGGGTTTTGCGCTTTCTTCGCTCACCCACTCGCGAGACAGCTTAGGTCTTGCCCGCAAGAGCCCGAAGACTCGCTGGAGAGCTACGGATGGTGCCCGGAGGCAGCAGCAGCGCAGCAGGTGCCTTGTTCGCGACTCTCCCGCCTGAAGTCGCCGCCATGTCGCTCCGGTGCGGCGGGCGGCGACGGCGCAGGAGGATCGTCTTGGCCGGCTGAAGCGATTGCTGGCTTTTCGCTGAGGAAGCTGGGCAGCTAGAGAAGGCGAGCGTCGTTTCCCGCCGGTGGGGTGCGGATTCGCCGAGGGCCCGTCCGCCTCCGCTCGCTGCCGCCCGGGGACCGGCATGGTTAGGGGCGTTCTGTAGCCTGCCGGCGGACGCCGACTAGTGGTCTTGGAGGGTTTGAGACGGGGCTCACGGGGACGAGGAGGGGGGCATGTCGAGAGGGTGGAGAGCGGGAGGGCCTCTCAGGGCGAAAAGATGTTACGAGAGGCTGAGCAAGGAGAGCTGCCATGGAGAAGCCGGCTCCGGTCGGCTCGGGACCCGGCCCGACGTCGGCTGGTGTGTCCGAGGCTCGTGAAGTGAATGGCCGCATTGGTCTCTGTTTTTGCCAAGAGTACTGGTGAAGTTAATTTTTGTTGGTCCGCGGAGGAAAGAGGGCGGTGGTGTGTAAATACACGAAGATGATCGATCAATGACGGTTACATTTTGGGTTGATCTTGGATGTAGAAGGAAGTAAGATGTCATTAATGGTTCTTTTTGTGTACAGATGATGATGATGGTGGTGGTGGATTTTAAGGGCCGCTGAAGATTGGTAGCGCTCTGCTATTATCAAAAATTTCTGATTCTATATGATCATGCTATGTTTATGTCCGGGTTTTTTTTTCTTTTTCTTTTTCTTTTTCTGGGTCTTTGTTAAGAAATTTAATATTGTTATGTAAGCTGTAATTATGTGAAAGCCTCTGGGCTCACTTGCAAGATATTGTAATGTATATTTATATATCTACTGATTTCTATTCAACTATCGTGATGTGTCCCTGTCCTTGCATCTGTTTGTCATTTTGTGATTTTTTTGACGGGATTGTTTGGATAACGCAATTTTAATTTTGCGGAGTCATGTTGGTGGTTGCGAGCGCTGCCATGGTGATTTCGTGCCAGGACCGGGGTGAGGGTGAACAGTAGGGCGGCATGGAGGAAAGATGTTTTCTTATTTATTGCCTGTACTGTTGAAAAAGACAAATAACAGCATTAATATGGGGATTATTAGTGAATTTAAATGGGTTTACTGGTGAAAACTTGACGTCTGTAGGCTCGCTTTTTCTTTAGATGCTTTTTATGGATAATGGAGATTAGGAAATATAGCCGGTAGCTTCTTTTGTGGAAGGTCTTTTCCTTTGCACAAAGGGGAGGGTGCGTCCCTGAGATGCAAAAAGCATGAATTTTTTTGTATCGTGCTTGTGTATAGTATTTTATTTTCGGATATTATTATTTTAACGGAGTTCATATTTATCCACAGTGTCACATCATTGTCACGTGAGAAAAATCTAATGCAAGGTCAGGGAGTAATGTTCATGGGACCCACGTGATCGGCCCCGGGGGTATGTT